GCATAAATTATAGCAACGACACTGATTTTTGCAATAAGGAAATCAATTTTTTGTCTCAGCAATGATTTTTTTTTTAGGGGTTCCATAAGCATATTGCCGATTAAAAAAAAAATTGATTTTTTGATTGATTTTTTATATTTTCTGACTAGGTCAAACCAGACTAGGTCATGTCCATATTTGCCGGCTAAAAATCAAGGCTGGGGTGGGGAGAGATGTTTTACCTCAACAGAGGCGGAGCGTTTTTAAAAGAGGGTCAGGGGAGGGGAGAAACATTCCATTTTTGCCCCTCCCTCTTCCGCAGTTTTAGGAGCAGCAGTGGTGCAGTAGTCAGTTCGCTTACTTTAGAGGTTAGAAATAATCTTTGCTTCTGTTAATTTAAATAAGTTCAGGGGGTTAATATAATGGTTCTTTGACCAATTCACGAATATTAATGTTATTGCATGACATCAGGGTAAAAATAATCTGAAAAATATCTTTAAAGTTAAGAAGGGGGCAAAAGCTACTTTAATGAATGGCGAGAGATTGCGCATGGCCCTCTCCACTATTGCTTAGCCGTCGCTGTTATACCCCTATTGCCGGTCCTGGCTTCTTCAACTGTTACTACTACTTTGGGTGTTGGGGGGTAGATGCCTTCACTTACAAAAGTAAGTGAAGGCATCTACCTTTTGTTATTTTTTTTCAAAATTTGTTATTTTAAGTCTCAAAAAGTAAAAATACGAACCTACAATAGCAGTACTTTACTTATTACTTATTAGTGTATTTTTACCCTATGACATATAAATATTATGAAAGTATAAAAAAGTCGAGTCCCCACAAGAACAGTGGCAGATTAAGACTTCTTGAGGCCCGGGGCTGTATTTGTTTTTGGAGGCCTTTTTATGGGCCAGAGCCCAACAATGACTAGAAAAAAAAAAGGACCTCTAAAATTTTATGGGGCCTCTAAATTTGCGGGGCCTGGGGCTATAGCCTCCCTCTTGATCTGGCACTGCATAGGAGGGGTAAGAATAGAAACATCACATTACCCATTTAACTTGATAAAAATAAACTACAAAATCAAAGCAAAAACTTCTTAATAAAATTCAATAAGTTATAAAAAGACCATAAGAACTTAAACTATATGTAAAGATGGTAAAAGTTAACTTGTAAATACTATGGTTGTATAAATAGTATATATAGGTTAAACAAATGGGGAAAAAAGTATGTAAAGATTTATATTTAAATTGTATCCCCCAACATTACAACATAAATTTATCCTCAAACAATATAATGTCACAGTATTATATATTTTATCCAAACATTACAAAATCAATTTCATTAAGAAATATATTAATATATTATCTACAATCATAATAGAATTAGAGAAAGATAATAATTAGTGGTATTAGAGCAAAAAACTAAGTTTTTAAAAATATGCTAAAAACCTAAACATAAAAGAATTTTTGAAAAGATTTAAATTAGGGCATAAAAATAGATTTTAAATAGTAATCTTTATAATAATTAATAAATTTTTCCTTTAACAAACTCTACAAAGATACATCAAAATCAATTTTATCTACAACTTTGCCATGTGGGGTCCATACAACAAAGTATGTAACACTACACTTTGTAACAGCCATTTGCATCATACATTGGGTGTAATAAGAATGGTTAGTTTTAAATTTTACAACAACACCCTCTTTTATTAAATATGGTAAATTTAATTCTGTTGGTGCAGTAAAATTAATCTTGTAAGGACATTTCACCTCAATACATGCATTAGGACAGCAATCACATGACATTATTTGGTCTGGACTTGTTCCAATGTAAGGATGTTCATAATCAAGGTATAGTCCACATTAATTTAAATCAAGATTTTTAGGATGTCCTTTCATTTTTACATAAAACACATTCACAGCTTCAACTTCCATCGTACGCCCATATTTTAAGGCTGGAATATTAGGGTTAGTAAATGTCAGTCCTGATATTTTTTGGTTAAGTGACCAAAAGTTATGGTAGCCAACAACAATTTTATCCATACTTGTTGCTACCTTGTGAGCTTTAGGCAGGTATAACACTTTTTAGATAGTGATACCAATTTTCATTTTTATTTTGCCCTCGTGTTACTATTTGTTTTCTATTTGTTTTATATTTTCGGCTGATATGTTTACTTCTAAACCTGTAAAAAATTCAACACAACACGAAGAGGTAGAAATTAAACTGTCAATGTTTGGCAAATCAACTGGTGGCATATCAACTGTTGTCAAAACTTCACGAATAAAGTCTATTTTTGGTTTTGGAACAGCAGTAAACAAAATGCTTGTTGGCAAGATTTTCTCAAGAGCAGAAGCTACATCATTTATATTTTATAATTGTACTGTATTATTAGATAGAGGATTATATTTTTCTTTTTGTGTATCTACTAACTTTCTCTTTTTTTTACCTCTTTTGCCAAAATCTTCACGACTAAAGTCAAGGTCTTCGATTTTAGAAGGCGCTACTTCTTTTCTAGATGGCAGCCATTTATTTGACGTGCTTGTACATGCAGGGTTAGTTAATCCATTTCTTACGGCAGCTTCTACTCTATACATTGCTGCAGCAACATGGTTACAAGTTTGACCCATGCCAGCCAAGCATGTACAATGACAGGCTTTAATTTTAGCACTTTTTTACTACTAATACTTTAATACTAGCCACAGTTTATGATATGTATCATTGATAGATTGTGATTTCCGACATTCTGATTTAAATATACAGTAATTACTACATGTTAAATTATGATACATAAGAGGCTGAAGCCAGGAAGATTTATAGTAGCTGTATGCTTTTGAGTTTTTATAGTCACTTAAGTCATTACTTCCGAGTTCTGAGGGATTAAACATTAAATAGTTAAATATATCTGGATATAATAACATTGACCAGAATGGCATACTTTCCTGTTTATCCATCCAGCCATCAAGCATTTTGAACAGATCAGGTATCTGCATATCGTCTAATTCCAGTTTCAAATTATATTCTTTTTTTAAATCTGCCTCAACTTCTACTGCTGTTTTTATTGGTAGAACATTGTTTTCTATTGCAGCAAATACACGAGCAACTAGCTCTTCTTTTTTACCATTTAATTTTAATCCTCTTAACTTCAAATAGTTTTTTAACTCTTCAACTTTCATCTTTGAAATATATTGTACTCCATGATTAATTTTATAGTAAATATTTGTTTTAGCAATTTTAGTTAGATGTTTATACTTAGTTTTCTCAAGTAAATATTGTAGCGGAAGTATTTTTTTTACCCCTCCTATTGGAGTTCAGACCTCTAAAAAATGATGTATTTTAAATTCGCTCAATCGGTGTATTAAACGCACTTGAATAAATTATCAAGTTTGTATAATGCGCCTAGAAAATCGTGTTTATTTTACAGACTCTAAATACTGCAGAAAATGGAGAAGACAAGCTTCGACTAAAACAACAAGATTTATTTTTCTTGGTATACATTTATTAATTAGTTTTAATAAAAAAAAAATTTGCGCAGACGTTTTTTTTAACATTCTTTTTAACATGACTTTAAAGATATCATACAACAGATAGATACCAAGCTAGCATCTTGTTTGATGACTTTAAAGATATCATACAACAGATAGATACCAAGCTAGCATCTTGTTTGATGACTTTAAAGATATCATACAACAGATAGAAAAGATTGCTGATCTCACAATTCTCCCTGAAGGAGCAATAGCAACAGATGCATTGACAATATTATCAAAACTACTGAGCTAGAAATATATGATAAATTGATTATCTCATACTTTAGAGAAAGTAAAAGTTAGACAGAATTAAGATAAAATAATTTATTGGATGATGTATGTTAGACTTAGAGATATGCCGAGCTAGTATTATGAAGCTGTATAAACTGAATAAACTCAATTCTATAAAAAGAACTACCAGAAAAACTTAAACAAACCTATTTTTTCTTATAACTTTTTTTCACACATTTTTTTTGTATGATACTGCATGCCTTGCATCAACCAAGTTTAACTTAACAAAAACTTTCATAAGTTAAGTAATTTTATATTAGCAATAAATAATATATTTAAAGTATAAATTTATATTAGCAATAAACAATTTATTTTAAGTATAAACTTATATTAGTAATAAATAAGCTATTATAAATATGAGAAATTAATTTTGATATATGTTATACAAAAAACTTGTATTTTTTTGAGCTAAACTAATTAACAATTAGAAATCTAGAATATTCACAAAAAAATGTCACAAGAAGAAAAAAATTATAATAAACAATAAATGTATAGTCAGAAAATCAAAAAAAAAAAAAAAAAAAAAAAAAAAAAAAAAAAAAACTACCATAGCACTCTGTCATAGATATTTAATATGAATTATTTTAACTCATCAAATATGAAAACAAGTAAACAACTATAATATCTGAAGTTATTTTGAAAAATAAATAACATACGATAGTGGAAAAATAAATAACATACAATAGTAGAAAAATAAATAACATACGATAGTGGAAAAATAAATAACATATGATAGTGGAAAAATAAATAACATACGATAGTGGAAAAATAAATAACATACAATAGTGGAAAAATAAATAACATAAGATGGTAAAAAAAAACAGTTAAGAGATCATAACAAATATTATTGTCAAAAATACATAAACATTTTACAAAAGATGTAAAAAGATAAAGTTTTTTGATATTTACTAGAAGAATAAAACTTTTTAAATAACTAAATTAATATAAACCTTTGTGTGATATTTATTACACCTTATAAGCATTTTAGATATCTCACATATATACTAGAAACCTGTGTTTTTTAATATAAGTTATATTAGTAATAAATAAGTTATATTAGTAATAAATAAGTTAATAAAGTTAATATAATATGAGACTAATTTTTACTAATTTTTACCTAAAATTATATAAAATTATAATTATATTTTGTAGAGAAAAATTTAAGTTATAGATTTATGCTAAAGAATATTTGTGACAAATTAATAAATGTACCAGATAGAAAAAAGTCACTTCCAAAAGGGTTCACACGACTCTCAACATATGAGCCATCGCTTCGAATCACTAAAAAAAAGGTTTGTGAAAATTTTACTTTGTTTAAGAAGCAAAGAGAAATAAGGGCAGCCAAGTTTATTGAAACTACCAAAAACAATATTTATAGAGATGTTTACTATACAATATTTTTTGTTTGTATTGTTTAACTTCTCTGTTTAAGTTAATTAACTTCGCTGTTCTCAGCCTAATATTAGGTTTACAATTGTAAATTTTTTATTTGTAATAAAATATTTGATTTGATTAATGAATTGATTTGATTAATGAATTTGATTAATGAATGGATGCTTTCACTGCACAAACAAATAAATTTATGCAAAAATTGTTTTACAATTTTTAATTTGTTTTAAAAAAAAGATTTCCATTGCATTGCTGTTTATAAAGTGTTAGAGTTAATGTTATCACTGAATAGTTGTAACAAAATGTTATAAAAAGTTAAAGCTTTTTTTAAAAAAGTATTTTAATTAAAAAAATACTTACACTATATATTGTTTTTCGATGGCACTAAGCAAATAAAATTTATTATTTTCGATGGCACTAAGCAAATAAAATTTATTATTTTCGATGGCACTAAGCAAATAAAATTTATTATATTCGATGGCACTAAGCAAATAAAATTTATTATTTTCGATGGCACTAAGCAAATAAAATTTATTATTTTCGATGGCACTAAGCAAATAAAATTTATTATTTTTGATGGCACTAAGCAAATAAAATTATTTTCATTAAAAAAAAACTATCAATCTTTCAATTTATTTTTAAAAATTTCTAGATAATTTTTTAATTTATAAACTTTTTTCATATTAGATTTTGATAGCAATAATATTAGTGTTGTTTTGAAAATAAAAACAAATATATGGAAGACTTTTTAAGTGTTACTTAATAATCATAGAATTATTATAGCTTATATATAGAATTATTATAGCTTATATATAGAATTATTATAGCTTATATATGGTTTTTAAAAAATAATTCTACATGAGGAATATTTTTCTTTTAAAAGATAAAAAAATTTTTATATAAAAGTAAAATAACATAAATTAGAAATATTTCATTCGATGATGTATTATATACACAGGTGTATTATATTTTTATATTATTATTAAACAAAGTTAACATAACTTTGTAAGTTACTTTTTCAATTTTATTAAAAAAATAACTTTTCAAAAAAAAAAATATTAAAAAAAAGATTTAAAAAGAAATACAAACCCACAAGTAATCTTAGCCAATTTTTAAAATAAAAAAAATATATTTGAGAAGAGAACAATATATATTAAAAAAAATTTACAAACCACAAGCAATATTAGCCTATTTTAGAAACGAAAAGATTTGTTAAGAAATTATTGACTATTCTAAACAAATCCGCAAGCAATTTTCTGGTAAATTTTTGTATAAAATGTTAGTTTTTAGCGAGGTATAGATGACAAAGAAAGTTGAGTAAAAGATCATATTAAGTGAAAGAAAAGATTATAAAATATTAACTTTTTAGCAAATGTTTTTGCTGTTTTTTTTTTTCTACTTTTTGGTCTTTGCAGAGAGTCACGATATTTAGCAATGTCAAGACATGTGAAATTAAATCGAGCTAAATGTGCGAATGGTTTAAGTACGAACTGGGGTATATGCAAATTGGCATAAGTGCAAAGCAGTTAAAAATAGCTTTAGCATAATTTTTTATTGATTAATTTTTAAATTAGCTCACAAATACTTAAGACCTTTAGTAATTATTTTTTTCTTATAAATTTTTTTTATTTTAATTAAATTCCTTAAATTACCTGGTACAAAAAAAAAAAATTAAAAATATGTAAGTTTCGACTGTTATTATTTTTGCAGTAGTAAAATTATTGTTTTGTTTTTTCATTAATTTTTGCAATAAGATAAATTGACCGTTTCATTAAAACAGTGTTTACAGTTTTTAATAAATGAATTATCAATTATGACCATTTTAGGATACTGCAATTCGCAATCACTTAATTCAAGTCTTGTCATTATGTTTTAAGTTGAACCTGGATGAAGGAAAACAATTTAACAATGAAGGAAAAGAAACACCTACAAAAAAGGTAATAATAAATAAAGTATCAAAAGAGTTTAAACAAGACAAAATTGCTTATGAAACACCTTCAAATTCACATTTTATTTTTATCACATCACATTCATAGTTTAATGATCTTGAATTTATTCAATTTGTTTATTAAAAAGCAATGATACCCAATAAAAAATGAAATACCACAAATTTATTTTGAATCTTGACAGATTCCTATTCATATAAAACCATTAGTGAGAGATAAACTAAATGAATTGTTTTAATAAAGATTGTTAAAAAAAAAAACGTGGTGGAAGCACTCACTAAAGTTGTAGTCGGAAAAGAGGATTTATGCATATGAGCAGAATTTAAAATAAGGATTAACCTATGGATTTGGTTATATTTAAAAACTATCCCAAATATTAAAAATAAAGATGACATGATAAATAAGATAAGATGCCCACATGAGCATTTTGATAAGATAGGCATGAGCCTTTTTGACAAGACGGGCATGAGCCTTTTTGACAAGATGGGCATGAGCCTTTTTGACAAGATGGGCATGAGCCTTTTTGACAAGATGGGCATGAGCATTTTCGACAAGATGGGCATGAGCATTTTCGACAAGATGGGCATGAGCATTTTCGACAAGATGGGCATGAGCATTTTCGACAAGATGGGCATGAGCATATTTGACAATATGGACATGAGTCTTTTTGACAAGATGGGCATGATGAGCCTTTTTGACAAGATGGGCATGATGAGCTTTTTTGACAAAATGGGCATGAGCCTTTTTGAATAAAAATAACAATCACAATATTTCAAAGCACAATAGGACCTGCTGTTGGTCCTCAATAGGACCTGCTGTTGGTCTTCAACAGGACCAAGAGCAGGTCCTATTGAGGAATAAATCACCAACAGCAGGTCTTATTATAAGGAATAAATCACCAACAGCAGGTTGGTGATTAACAGCAGGTCCTATTGAGGACCAACAGCAGGTCCTATTGAGGACCTACTGTTGGTCCTCAATAGGACCTGCTGTTGGTGATTTATTCCTTATATTTTAAGGTAATATGAATATTTATGGTTAACCCATTGAAAAATATACTGAAATTTTTTTACCATTAAATTTTTTTAAAAATCTTCTTAAGGCCATGAAGGCCACAACAATTGAGGAGGCTACTTTTTAGTTGTGGTTACAACCATCTCTCAACCCTATAACTTCAAAACACAAACCATGACAAACAAAGCCGCTGCACAGAGAATCAAGTTAAGTGCTGTATTACAAGGGATGTAGTGGAGATCAAACTCAAAACTTCTTGCTTAAGTGGCAAGTGCTCTACTACTACCATTATTTACAAAATGTTTTAAGAAAGGGTTTGAGGAAAGAGCATCAATATGTATTCGAATTACTGATATAGCTTTTGCAAAATTTTAGTAAAAAAGGTTAATGACAAAACAAAAAATAAACAACTGATGCCAGTGTTTAACAGGAAGACATCTTCCTGAGAAACACTGGCAAAAACAATAGTCATATAATGATCGCACATCATTATATGACCAGGCAACTTTTTTTTTAAGTATGATTGACAGTTGTATACATTTTTTTAAAAGTATGATTGACAGTTATATAACTTTTTTAACATATGTTATATAAAATATTCGAGTATGCATTTTTTATAATAAACATTATTAAAAAATAAAAAATTATTTTGTTTTTATTAACAATGGCTTTTTAAGACAAGTTTATTTTAATAACAAATTTTAATATAAAAATCATTAAAGTTAATACATTTAAAAAAATAAAAAAAAATTTTGTTGAAAAAAAACAACAAATGTTTTTGAAAGCTGTTACAATTAAATCTGTTTAATCTTGAATGCTTTTAAATTATTGAAATGCTTTTTAATGAAGTAAAAAAACATTTCAAATGAATTTTTGCATTAAGTTTTATAAAACTGTTGTTTTTATTTATATAATTATGTACTTTTTATGATAAATGCCAATATTTTGAAACAAATTCAAAAAGCAAAAACAAAAAACAAATGTTAAAAAAAAAAAAATGAAATGGTTTTTTAATGCGCAATTATTTACTAGTTTACATTTACATGGAAACTGATATTTTTAAATAAAAAAAAAAAACTAAAATTTAAATTAAGTGTGAGTATTTTTTAAACGTTTATTAAAAGTATATAAATAATATTGTGTAAACATTAATAAAAGTAAAAAAAATATTCCTAACGTATTTTAAAAAATGATTTTAATAATTAGTTCATATTTTTAATTATGTTTAGAATATTAGTTTCTAAACATAGTTAAACTTATTATATATATTTAAAAGCATTTTTGTTTGTTGAGTTTTGTTTTAGTTGGGTTACATATATGTAGACAACACAGGTAAAACCACAGATGTCACATTTTTTTTATTTTGAGAAAAATGAAATTTAATGTTTAGTGACATTAGATATTTGTTTATTAATAATTTATTTAAATAAAAAGTATATTTTCATGACATTGAGTTGTAAACTCATCAACTCATAAATTATGTTAGCTTGTAACCTTTTAGAGCACTTAATTTATTAAAGGTAGATAGTAACACATTTTAATATACAATTACAACGTACTAAGTGTGTGATGAGATAATAAAGCCATCCCCCTCCCCTCTTTTAATTAAAAAAAATTCAAACAAAATATTATACTAAAGTATTTTTTAACTTTATACAAAATAGCATTATAACCTTATCTCTTCCCCAACCTCATCTATTTACCACAGGTGATTCTATGATGTCTGTGTTCCATCACTTTGTATCAAGTTTGTATAAACCATACAAAAACCAATTATGAACACAACATTAATAAAAATGTTTTGTTTTTAATTTCAAAGAAAAATAAAATAAAATAAAATATAAAGTAAGATCAAATAATGTT